AACCCACCCTCTCCAATAACTAACTAACTAGGATGTGTCACAGTGGCCTCCGTAGTCTAGAGGTAACGTTCCCACCTCATGACTCAAGGTACGTGGGTTCAAACCCGGCAGAGGTCGTGGAATTTTTAAGGGCAGAAAAGTTCAAGGAACAAGTCCTCCGGGACGGACTTTAAGCCAGGGGTCCCGTGTCGTAGATTTACGGCACGTAAAAGATGCTCATGTCTCTAGGAGACCTCTGAGCAAAATTAGGCAACAAGTTTCCCACCCAAGTAGTTTCCACTGCCTCTGGTAGATGGGGGAAATATCAGGTACCAAGGGCCGACCTCCTTGGCTGAAGNTGTCATCATTATAAAGTTACTAGGTTCAATTTTCAACAGTCTTCTGTTAGTATTTATATGTTAGTGGGAATTTCAAACATACAAAGAATTTTTGTTCTGCAAGGTTCTGTAAGGTATAATATAACCTAGTCACAGATCAGAAGGACTTTATTAAATATTTTTTAATTCCCTCTAACTGGAATATATATGGAACAGAGTAAGATAGTATGGTCTGAATTTACCTGAGTCATGACAGGAACCAATGCCAGTCTCCTATAAATATGGTAATAAACCTCCAGATTCCATAAAAGGCAGTAAATTTCTTGATAAGCTGAGTGACTATCAGCTTCTAAAGGCTCTGCTGCTTTGGGTTAGTTCATCTAATTGATCTCAGCACTGTAGAAGTTGCTTAATATATTGATATAAGGGGAATAAATTACTTACATTCATAGTTTTATAACAAACTTCTTCAAAGATAAATAAAAGACAATTTATAGATTATATGCTTACTTCTACAACAAATACCCTAGCAGAACACAATCAGAATAGTTGTTCACTACTTTCTAATGAATTTCCCTTTCTAATTCCTTTCAAAAAATTGTTCACTTTTATTCCTAGAAAGGAGTCCTCATCAAATCAATTATCTTGTTATGTCCTTTGGAGCAAACAAAAATTACTTTCCCTTCTGCAACCACCACTGATCGGGCAGCATAAAAAAATGTGTGATTTACACATGACGTCTATCTGCTGTCTAGGTGAACGTAATATGGTGTGAAGGTAGGTACAAAATATCATTTGCATGCATTTGACAGATATTGCTTATATATTAACGATCATCTGAGAATCATTGAGCTTTATGCATTTTTGTTTAAATTACACACACACACACACACACACATATATATATCTTAAATGGTGTGGTCTGCCTTTTTTGGCTGTATATGTGTATATACATATTTGTGTCTGTGTGTGGCAGAGTGGGCACGTGTGTAATTCTACCCAGTGCGGTTGCACTTTATGCAGATTTGAATTACATGAATTTGAAATAGTATGATATAAAAAATATTAATGAAATCTCACATTATGCACATAGTTTGAAATAATGGAAATCCCAGAAAAATGTCTTTACATAATGTGTGTTCTTTAGGAATGCATCCACACATAAAATGCAACTGCACTGTGTATGTCTCCTGCTGAATGAAAATATGAATGAAGGGAAGCACCCATGAAGGTTTCTGATCAGTCATAGAGGCCAATGTCACCCTAATACTGGGAGAAATATAACTTCCCATTCAGAGTTATGAAAGCTGTGAAATTATACTGCTGAATGATATCAGGGCAACAAATTTTCTGCTCTTAACATGTTTCCAGCACTCTATTAAAGTATATAGCAGGGGGCAAATGAACAGTCTTTTTTTATTTATCCTGTGTGTGCTAACAATATATGAATGTGGACACATGGAGTGTAATTAATATCTATCAAGAAATATGTAGTAGTTCATAAAGATTTGGAAGTTTCTGTTCTCAAAACAGGCACCTTGATGATGTCCATATAGACTAGCTCAGCATAACTTAGTCCTAGCATTCTAATCAGAAATTAAATGACTAATACAAGTGGACAATTAGATGGCTGGGTAAAGGAATCACGGACTTAAAGAAACACACTATATGTTCCAGTGGTAAAGCAGAAGGCAATAAGGAATTTGGTATAGCCTTTGTAAGAGAACAAGAATTTAAAAGCGCAATAATAGACTTTAAACCAATAAGTGAAAGAATTTGCACTTTGAGAATTAGAACAAAATTTTTCAATATGACGTTGATGAATGTGCACACACCTACAGAAGAAAAAGAAGAGGTGGTCAAAGACTATTTCTATCAACAAATGGAAGAGACATATGATTCAATACCAAGTAATGACATAAAGGTTATTTTAGGGGATCTTAACACCAAAATAGGTAAAGAGAAGGAATACAGAGGAGTAATTGGGACAGAAATTTTACATTATACAACCAACCATAATGGAATAAAATTAATAGATTTTGCAGAAAGTAAGAACTTGATCATCAGCTCTACATACTTCCCGCACAAAAATATTCATAAAAGGGCATGGGCAGCACCAGATGGGGTAACCTTCAATCAAATAGATCATGTCCTCATAGAGAAGCGATTTGCGATGAATATCCTGGACGTAAGAACATTAAGAGGGGCCAACTGTGATAGTGATCATTATTTAGTACAGGTTA